GCCTTATCGGACTTTAGCACTATTAGTTTCCCTAGCACATTTTTCTCTAGTGATAGTTATTGTGTTTATTTACTCTCCACCTTTTGCCACTTGAATATTTAATACTTTTGTGATGCTATTAGCATCTTCTACTGTGAAGACTAATGCAACATATTTATTCAACTCCTCTGCCATTTCCTGGGTCTTCATTTTTTTATAGCGCCAGCTTCATCCTTGAAGGGGCCTATGCTCACTTCACATTCTGTCTTCCTTTTCATCTATTTAAAACAGCTCTTCACATTACTTGCATGTTCACCCTCAAAGTTCTCTTCCCCGTTTTTGGTATTTATTTGGTCATCTTTTGTTGGTTTTTTTAAAAACTTTCCCAATCCGCTGCTTTACCACTAATGTTTTCAACATTCAGGGTTTGAGCGAAGATTTGTAGCTCAGGTGCTGGTTGTAGATGTTGGTGTGTTCGCTGAGCTGGCAGACATTTTGTCCCCTTACTCGGTGACATCCTCAGTGCAGTGGAGCCTCCTGTGAAGCGCTGGTGTCTTGTGCCAGTTTGAATTTACATGGTCTGGTTTTTGCTGCTTCCAGTAGGTGCCAGTTCCTGTTGTGCATTGTAATGGTCGGTACATCGGGTCTAATTCAATGGGTTTGTTGATAGAGTCCGCAAATGAATGCCAAGCCAACAAGAATTCTCTGGCTATCCTCTTTTGGTTTGTCCTATGATAGTAGTGTTGTCCCAGTAGGAAGTGTAGTTTTTCTTGTCTGATCGCATCTGGTCATGTCGTTTAGTTGCTAACTGGTGATCGTGGATGCGGGTTGCCAGTTGTCTGCCTGTTTGTCCCACATAGTGTTTTGTGCAGTCTCCACATGGTACCTTGTAAACCACATTCGTCCTGTCCACAGTATCTATTGGGTCTTTAACCCTGGTCAGTTGCTGTCTTAGTGTGACTGTGGTTTGTGTGCTGTCATGATTCCTAGCAGTCTGAGTAGTCTGGCTGTCAGTTCTGAGGTACTTTTTTTACATATGGTATGGTAGTTATTGTTTCGGGTTTTGGTTTGTCCTGGTTGTGCTGTCTGTTGGCTAGGCATCTGTGGATGAAGCTGCAGGGGTATCCATTCCTGATAAAGACCTTGTAGGGATCATCTTCTTCTTCCTTCTGCAGATCAGGTTTGCTGTGGTGTGTAGCGGCCCTTTTGAACAGGGTCCTAGCCCAGCTCCTCCTGTGTGAGTTGGAGTGGTTGCTGTGATAGTTTAAGGCCTGGTCAGTTTGTGTGGATTTCCTGTATACTTTTGTCGTGAAGTCTCCGTGCTCTTTTCTTTCCTCCATCGCGTCTAGGAATGGGAGTTTGTTGTTGTTTCCCTCCTCTCTTGTAAATTTGATCCCTGAGAGTATGGTGTTGATGAGTCGGTGGGTGTTCTCAATTTCTGTTCTTTTCATAATTACCAAAGTGTTGTCCACGTATCTGATCCAGGGCCTGGGTTAGGTCTATGGGAGGGCTGTTTGTTCCACTCTTTGCATGACTGCCTCAGATACCAGTCTGGAGATTGGTGAGCCCATGGGAGCCCCATTGATCTGCTCATATATCTTACCGTTGAACATAGAGTGGGTCGTTAAGCACAAGTCCAATTGTTTGAGTACTCAGCGTTTGTTGATCTGTTCCTCATCTGTCGTCTGTTGTGTTTCTGTAGTAGGTTGGATATGGTTTCTTTGGCTAGAGTTCTGTCGAATGATGTAAACAATGCTGTTACATCGAACGAGACCATCACTACTACTTTGTCTATTTTTGTGTTCTTCATGTTGTCCAGGAATTCTTGTGTTGATTGTATGGAGTGTCTTGAACTACTGATTAGATGTTTAAGCTTTTGTTGTAGTTCCTTTGCTAGTTTGTGTGATGGAGTTCAACATTGCATATATTTTCTTTCAAATTGATGCTATCCTTAACTTCCCTGGGTAACCATAGATGATTCATCCCATTCCTAGAATCCTTCCCCTTCATTGGACAATGTCAGAGGACACACAATACAGAGTTATAGTCCAACAGGTTTATTTGAAATCACAAGCTTTCGGAGCATAACCCCTACATCAGGTGAAGTGAGAGAGAAGAGCACTCAGACACAGAATTTATGGGCAGAGAGATCAAAAGATCATACAAACGCTGTGAGTAGAGTGCCAAATAATAAGTCCCTGCAGGTCAGCCAGTGTTAGACGGTTAGTGAAGTGTCAACGGCTGAATAACAAGCGAAGGAACAACCTACAATCCAATTAAATGAGGGAGAGAGATAATTACAAAAAATTAAAAATAAGGTGGTGCTGGAGACAAATGACTGGAATATCATGATAGGTATAAGAGTCGCATGTCAAGGGTCTAACCAAAAAGTCATAAGTAATCCAAAACTGTACAAACTAATTAAGATAGGGAGATCATTATCCAGGTGATGTCTTTGCTATGAGCCATGATCTTTCTGTTTTAAAAGTCTGCTATTGTTCTTTAACCACCTTTGCTGCTAAAATCCTTCCCTAGTCCACTCCAGGTAGCTCATTCCTTTCTAATTACTATTATTTAAATGAGAGGAATATTCCCAATTCCCACTGCCCTGTGTGTGAAAAAGTGTTTCCGGATTTCATTTTTAACAAACCATTCTTCCATTAATGCTGAAACAAGTCTAATGGCAACTCTATCCTGGACAAGATGTTCTCGAATATGTTCATTGTAATTGGAACCACTTCGACTGATCTGTTTGCCTGGTTTATCTCCACCAGTCTCCATGACAAACAGCCTGAGAAAACTCTGTCAGGTTTCTTCATAATTCTTTCTTAAATTTATATGTTTTGCAAGTAGGAGCGGACAAAACATTTACTTGAAGTTTGCAGTTACACTTCCCCACCTCCCCCTGCTGAATATTGCGATGTTTCCCTTCACTGTTGCTTTTGCCATGCTTTTATTGCACCAAATCATTAAATGTGACATATAAAAAAATTGACCAGTTGAAGGGCAAAGTTAAAATTTGTTAAAGGACAAAATACATGATTCTGGAGTTTGCTTGGCCTTTACGCCCTTTCTATTCTGCTCACAAACTAATTCAGAAAGTTTGAAAAGTGCAGAAAATTAAGTGCCTGTTACGAACATGGCCACAATAAGCACAAGTTTCAGTGAACTTGTACATACATCTATCAATCTCTTCACCTTAATGAATTTTCATCCATAAAATGGTGTGGGCACGGTGGTTCAGTGGTTAGCACTACAAAAACAAAGTTGCTGGAAAAGCTCAGCAAGTCTGGCATCATCTGTGGAGGAGAAAACAGCGCCAGGGACCCAGGTTTGATTCCACCCTCAGACAACTACCTGTGTGGAGTTTGCACATTCTCCCCGTGTCAGCTTGGGTTTCCTCCCACAGTCCAAAGATGTGCAGGCTGGGTGGATTGGTCATGCTATAGTGCCCGTAGTGTTCAGGGGTGTGTAGATGAGGTGGGTTATCAGGGGATGGGTCTGGGTGGGATGCTCGGAGGGTCAGTGTGGACTTGTTGGGCCAAAGGGCCTGTTTCCACACTGTAGGGAGTCTACACAAAAATAAATAGATTGCACCATCAAATCAAGTTCAATTCATTACAACCACATATTCTTGTGGTGTTTAATTGCATTTTACCTCTGAACTTTCTATTTCCTCAAATAGATTTTTATGGACAAGCTTCTCTAATTGAAAGCTTCTGAATCTGCATAAATGATTAAACGAATTATAGAGTCATAGAGTTCTCTGTTATAGAGTCATAGATTCATTCATACTGAAGAAACATATCATTTAGGTTTGGTGCTTTCCTTGGGATTTAACTGTTTATGCCACTTTACACCTTTTTAAAGTTCAAGCACATTCAAATGCATTTGGGAACTTACTTGGGCATAACTTCATATCCTCAAAACGGACCCAACAATGGGCTCTTTTTGCAAATCTGACCTCCAGGTTGTGTCTAAGGAGGAAACTCCAGACATGGAGCAAGAAAGTAATAGACCTTAGAACAGAAAATGCAGTCTGGTTTGATCATTATTTTAAGTAAACAGTCCTAAATGATGCTTAAAGTCTCTCAGTATCACAGAATATGATTACCACGGTAACACACAACCAAAAGTAAAAGGCTTAGAGACTACCGTACTTTTCTTAAAAGTCAACTGCTACCTTTTTATATGAGGTCATCTTAATTACTTTTTCTTATCCGTTCACAGGATGAGGGCATCGCTGGCTAGGCCAGCATTTATTACCCATCGGGCAGTTAAGAGTCAACCACATTACTATGGGTCTGGAGTTACATGTAGGCCAGACCAGGTTGGATGGCAGTTTCCTTCCCTAAAGGGCATTACGGAGCCAGATGATTGTTTTCCGACAATCAACAATGGATTCATGGTCATCACTAGATTCTTAATTCCAGATATTTATTGAATTCAAATTTCACCATCTGCCATGGCAGGATTCAAACCCAGGTCCCCAGAACATTATCTGGGTCTCTGGATTAACAGTCCAGCGATAATGCCAACAGGCCACTGCCTCCCCTAAATGGCTACATTGAAAGTCAAAACTAGAATTTGCATAATGCTAGCTTGGCCCAACTGATGTTGGAGTCTCTACTGACTTGGGCACACCACATATTGAAGGAGTTCCAGGGCACTGCGTTTCAGATTAGACATTAAACCAGATATGACAACTTAGCATAACAGATCCTATGGCAGTATTTGAAGAGGAGCAGAGAGTTCTCCTGTTCCCTAACCAATATTCATTCCCCAACCATCACCATTTGTGTATTACTTACTGTATACTAAGTGACTGTTGCATTTGTCTACATAACATCATATGTCAAAGGTATTCCATCATTGTAGTGTGCTTTGAGATGTCATGAGTAGGTAATTACATAATTCCACATTCTTGTTTAGCACAAGTTCAAGTCTATAGTTAATATTGATATTCTAGGCTTTTAAAATAACTTATACAATCCAAAACTTTCAATTTCATTCATACATACCTTGAAATTTGTGTCCAATCAGCTGGAATGATGGAGAGTAGAGAACTTTTGACTTCTATCAGAAACTGGAAGAAAAAAACAGGAATGAGAACTTTTTACAAGTAACTAAAATGTACTATTGTGTAACAATATTGCAATGGAAACTTGTATCCTTTCCAACTGTCACCATACTTTAGTCAGATTCAGATGGTCCCTGTATCACAGATGGTGCTGCATTTACAATGTTGTAGCGTTCTCACAATAGAACCATTTTCATGTGGATTAGGTGTCTCTTAAATTCTACTCTCAGAAGGGAGATATGTGCGTGAAGGTACACATATGCAAACACCATTTTTAATTTTTAAAACTGATATTGGCAGAAAATATCAACAACAGTAATCAAATTTATCTAACTGCAGCTTTTTGTTTCTTTGAAATAGGGAATAATGAGAGAGGCAGGAACAATGATAGGCAACAAGCCAGTGGAAATAAATCATGGTGCGAAGAGTTCCGGGTAAAGCTACTTCAAATTGTTCTTTGCTCTTCTCCATTACTAAACCCAACATTGTAATAATCACTTTTACACGTGTTCTCCCACAAACACTCGCTCCACTTTGCACAACTCAAACTGTAGCACCAGAAAAGTTTGTGGTGAAAAAGGCCCAATTTCTAATGAAAAAGGGATTGGTTTTGAGCCCAGAGTCAGATATATAATGGACTAGACTTCCTGGGAATTGGTAAATGCAGCCTTGATGTCAAGGGCTGTCACTCTCACCTCACCCCTAGAGAACCTGGGTCAGGTACTCTATTGTCAGGTAGATGCCAGTGTTATACCTGTACTGGAACAGGTTGGCTGGGGCTGCAGCTCGTTCTGAAGCACAGATTTTCAGTCCTATTGCCGGAATATTGTCAGGGCTCATGGTCATTTCAGCATCTAGTGCCTTCAACTATCTCTTGATTCACGTGGAGTGTATAAATTTTGCTGAAGGCTGACATCTTGATGCTGAGGATCTTGGGATGAGATCAGATGGTTCCTCCACTCAGCACTTCTGGCTGTAGTCAGATGCAAATGCTTTAAACTGATCTTTTGCACTGATGTGCAGGGCTCCCCCTTCATTGGGGTTGGGGATAATTGTGGAGCCGAAATATCTAGTGAGGTGTTTAGTTGACTCCCACTATTCACAGCTGGAAGTGGTAGGACTTCTGTGCTTCGATTCTATCAACTGGAAGATCGTTTAACCCCATCTACACCATCCTACCTCTGATGATTGGCATGCAAGTTGCCCAGTACCGTACCTTTATCAGGTTGACACCTCACTTTTAGAGATGAGTGGTGCTCCTCCTGGTATGCCCTCTTGCACTCAAATGAACTAGGGTTGATCTCCCAGGTTGAAGGTAAATACATCGAGGAAAGGTATATCCCACACAAGGTTACAGATTGTTGTTGAATACAATAGTACTTCTTAGCCTGCTTCCAACTAATATGGTATGACCTCATTCTTTCACCCCTTCGTGCAACTTTCCACTTGTCAGAAGTTGGTTCCCATCCCCTGCCTACTTGTTTAAATCTACATCAACCAAACTCAATAGCATGTACACATTTGACTTCATCTGGCTTAAGCTTGTCAGCAGCAAGCTTCTCTTAATCTCAAAACAAGGTTCATAATCACAGTCAATATGAACTTCTATTATTGAATGTGGTGATAGAAGATTAAATTGAACACTTTAAAGAATGTTTGCAGAATGCTTCCAAGGTGCAACTGGGAAACATACACAATGAACATATCTCAACACACTGCAATCGGATCCTCAAGTAAAACAGACTGTTAGTGCTCAGGTAAATGCGGCAAATGACCAACCAATGGGACATGGATGGGAATGATGCAGGCCTATCATTGAAGGGTGAGATTTTCCCCGTTTCACCACAAATATCACTGAAAATTAATTAGTAATATAGGCTGTGTTAGCACACTGCCAACCTAAGGCTGCTGTTGAACACTCTTGGAATTCAGTTAAGAGATGTGGAAAGTGAATGAGGCACATTATATTAACTCTGCATATTTCTCAATAATTTGGTTGTGGAACTTATTTAAAAGGTGGTGACATTGATAAGGCCAGTACTCCACACAGACTGCAGCAGTTCTAAGATGATGCCCAGTCATTAACTTGCCAAGAACAACTTTCCTATTTTTCCATGGAATGTGGGTGTTCACTGGCAAGACCAGCATTTGTTGACAACCCACATTAACCCTGAACCGAGTGCCTTGTCCAGCATTTCAGAAGGCAAGTTAAAGAGTTAACCACATTGCTGTTGGTTTGAGTCACATGTTGGCCAGACTGCGAGACAGATATCTTTCCCTAAAGGACATCAGCGATTCGAGTGGGTTTTTATGGCAATCCAATTATTTTCATGGTCACCATTACTCTCGCTGGAATTTTAAATTTGCTGATACTGAGTTTCAGAGGCATCATTCTCTCAGGGTTTTTAAGGATCTTCCCCTCAACTTAGAAAAGACTGAAAATCCTCATGGAAATTCTCACCCTCAAGCCCGAAAACTAAGTCCAAGTTTAGATTCAAATTCACATTATCCCTTTGCAAAATGAACAAAAGGATATGGGACAGGTTCATAACCACAAACAACATGCCTTGGGCGAAATTACTGAATCAGTGAATTAGCTTTTAAAAAGTGTACCAACTTTGAATGTGCTAAATTGTCGTACTATCATCACTGCCTATAACAAAAAAAGAAGCTTTATTCCTTTAAAAAGATACTGTGATTTGGTTTGCAAACCCTTTAAATGTCCAATTACACTGTAACAAACAATTATAGCTCTAAAATATTTCTGAAAATGGCTATTGTATTAACACTTATTATCATGCCAAACACACTTCCCTGGTACAGCAATGATTCCAACTATATTTTAAATAAATTCATTTTACCTCCATTTGATAGATTGTGCAATACTGATATCAGACTCATTAGCGATACATCATGGAAGCAGACCCTTCTGCCCACTCATCCATGCCGATCAGGTTTCCTAAACTGAACTAGTCCCATTTGCCTGCATTTGGCCCACATCCCTCTAAACCTTTCGTATTCATGTACCTGTACAAATGTTTTTAAATGTTGTAATTGTACCTCTACCACTTCTTTCTTCACCACCCTGTCTACCTGTGATGCCACTTTCATGGAACTATGTACCTGCACCCCTAGGTCTCTCTGTTTGACAAAACTCCCCAAAGCCCTAGCATTAACTGTGTAAGTCCTGCCCTGGTTTGTCTTACCAAAATGCAACACTTCACATTTATCTGAATTAAATTTCATCCGCCATTCCTCGGCCTACTGGCCCAGTTGATCAAGATCCCATGGTACTCTTCAACAACCTTCTTCGCTGTACATTATACATAAATTTTGGTGTCATCAGCGAACTTACTAACCATGTCTCCTATTTCTGATCCAAATTGTTTATATAAGTGACAAACAATAGTAGAACCAGAACCGAAACTTGCAGCACACCGCTGGTCACAGGCGTCCAGTCTGAAAAACAACCCTCTACCACCACCCTCGGTCTCCTACCATCAAGCCAATTCTGTAACAAATGGGCTCGCTCTTCCTGGATCCAATGTGATCTAACCCTACTAACCAGTCTCCATGCAGTACCTTTTCAAAGGCCTTGCTGAAGTTCATGTTGACCACATCGACCACATCAACCACATTGCCCTCATCTATCTTCTTGGTCACCTCTTCAAAAAACTCAATCAAATTTGTGACTCACGATTTTCCACACACAAAGCCAAGCTGATTATTTCTGATCAGTCCGTGTCTTTCCAAATGCATGCAGATCCTGTCTCTCAGAATCCCATCCACAAATTACCCACGATTGATGTTAGGTTCACCAGCCTGTAGTTCCCTGGCTCTTCCTTGCAGCCTTTCTTAAATAGTGGCACAACATTAGCCACCCTCCAGTCTCCCAGCACCTGACTCGCTGCAGTTGATGATACAAATATCTCAGCAAGGGGCCCCGCAATATTCTTCCCTAGCTTCCTACAATGTTCTAGGTTACATGTGATCAGGTCTGGGGGATTTATCTATATTTATGCGTTTTAAGACCTCAGCACCTTCTCCTCTGTAATGTTCATTCTTTTCATCTCAACAGTATTTACTTCCCAGAGTTCCCTAGCTTCCATGTCTTTCTCCACAAGAAATACTGATGTGAAATATTCATTAAGAATCTCACCCATCTCCTCTGGCTTCATTTATAGACAACCTTGTGGATCTATAAAAGGGTCCTATTCTCTCTCGAGTTACTCTTTTGCCCCTCAAGTATTTGTAGAATCTCTATGGATTCTCCTTTACCTTATCTGCCAAAGCTTTCTTATGTCCCCTTTTTGCCCTCCTGATTTCCCTCTGAAGTATACTCCTACACCCCCCCCCCCATACTCTTCAAGAGATTCACTCGATCCCTGCTGCCTATACCTGACATATGCCTCCTTCTTTTTCTTGACCAGAGCGTCAATAATTGTAGTCATCCACTGTTTCCTACTCGTCAGCTTTACCTTTCACAGTAACAGGAGTATGCTGGCCCTGAACTCTGGTTATCTCATTTCTGAAAGCCTCCCACTTGCCAGAAATCACCTCCCTAATCAACCTTTGATAGTTCCTGTTTAATACCATCAAAATTGGCCTTGCCTCAATTTAGAATTTTAACTTTTAGATACCGTCTATCCTTTTTCATAGCTAGTTTAAAACTAATAGAATTATGATCACCAGTCCCAAAGTGTTCCCCCACTGACACCTCAGTCACTTGGCCTGCCTTATTGTCCGAGAGGTCTAGTTTTGTCCCTTCTCTAGGGGCCATCTACATATTGGTTATTTTGCTTAAGTTGTACATTCTTTGAAACTACATTCATGCTGTATGTTCATGTGACACACTGTGGTTTTATTTGATTTTACTCCTTAGAGAGCAAACAGCTCTCTGCTAATAGTTATAAAACGGCATTGTTTAAAAGGAACAAAACCTGAACAGACCAGTTGTCAGATGAATAACTCAGCTTGAAGTTGTAGCATTACAACTTGTAGCACATTATTTGCTTTCAGCATTTTCTACAAAATAATAAACAGAATCAATTCCCACAAATTATTTTGAGTGAAACTCTTTTCCCATCGGTACTTGTACCATTTTATAACCGCTCTAATTCCTTTCCACATTACCATCACACAGAACAGAGATAAGTAATGTAAGCACCAACAGTGAACTCACTGTCTCAACTAGTGGTGATAGCAGACAGAAAATCCCCAAATTAAAATATCTGGCCTTCAACAAAACGTACTACTGCCATGGTATGCAAAATATATCACAACATGACCCTGCAGTCGGGATAGTACCTCCTGAATCTCTAGCTTTTACTGCTGAATGACCTCCTCTACAACCTCTTCCATCAGGCAGTAGATACAGAAGCCTGAACACATGAACAAGCAGGTTCAGGAACAGCTTCTTCCTAGCCATTATCAGACAGTTGAATGGACTCTAGCCTCAAATAACATAACCTGTATGCCTCTAAGTTTTTTTGATCAGTACATTCTTTGCTTGCTGTGATTGGCCAGTACCACTCATAAACAAAGCTTTTCACTGTATTTCAGTACACGTGGCAATAAATCTAAATTAATCAAGCAACATTACTGCAGTAGCATTCAGGGGTCCTGCTAACCCGAATTGTTTGGAACATAATTGATGCTTTTTTGCCAAGTGCAAACCCAAAAGATGAAACAACAACTTAGACGATAGAGGGCAGGGTGACAGCCAGAGGTTTCTGAATTTCTTTTTTCTGGAGATAAGACTGATGCTAGCAAGGCTACATTGATGGACCATCCTTGCTTATCACATGATGATGATTGTGGGCTTTATGTTGCCAGTCTAAAATGGGGCATAAACACGCTTCAACAGTCCTGGGAAACAAACGTGACTTCAACCTCAGCGGTTGCATTTAAAGTAATCAGTAGATCATTCCAGCCTGATTAAAACCGAGCTCAGTTTACCTCTTGCCCCGAAACTGTCACATAATCTAAAGACGGTTTTTTCAGAATCAATCGGATTTCTCTGCGATGACCCTGCAGTCGGGAAAGAACCTCCTGAATCTCCAGCTTTCGCTGCTGAATGACAGGGAAGTCAGTGAGGTCTGTAAAGAGCTGCGTCTTATCACCTATCCTGAAAAAAGGACAAGACACAAAGCATGAATATGTAGTCACTCTCTTTCAATGCCATGGGAGGCACATGAAAAAATACATCAAACACTGAATAATTTCAATGTTGTCGAAGACATTGCAGGTTAATTGTTTTTGGTTACTACAAGTTTACCATTGTTCGAGTTATAACACAGGATGCTCAAAGGAATTTATTTTTAAATTAACAACATTTTACTTATTTCTGACTACGATTAATCTAATTTTAAATTTCCATTGTAATCACACTGTTTCTTTTTAAACAGTCCATTAGCTGGCTCTCTGCCAGTTCAAAGTTATTAGAGGCCAAATGCAGTGAAGATATTAATATTTTTGACCATATGTTGTTATGGAAACTGAGCCAGGATTATTTTGGAGAAACAATCAGATCTGGAGATTGGATGGGTGGGGAGGAAGAGAAAATAAAGCAAAGCGTCATATTCCAACCCTAGGTCCAAAATGGCATTTGGCAAAACATTTGTTTATCTTAAAAAAAACAATGAATCAAAAAGAAAATGATAGAATTTCTGCATTGATTGAACAGCTCTCACAAAATTCATCTCAGGGCTGATCTCATCATGACAATCTTCAAACCGCTAGACCTCAACAGGCTGAGGAAGAACAAAATTTAGGGCCTACCTTCACTAATTGAACAACAGAAGGCACAGGAAAATGGTTTGTTTTCACTGGGTCAAAACCCAGGAATTCCATTCCCCCCTCCCAATGGCATTGTGGGTTTAACCAACAGCACATGGACAGCAGTAGTTGAAGAAGGCAGCTCATCGCTACGTTCTCAAGGGCTAGGGCAGGAATCAAAACACGTCCCACAAGTTAATCTTAAAAAAAAAAATCTTGAACTGCAGCAGATTGGGAAGGCGGCTCCTTCTTCTGAACTTCACCATCACCACTTTCTCGAGAGAAATTAAGGATGGCCAATGGTACCCACTTACCACAAACAAGTAAAAGGAAACCGGATGGAAAGAAAGAGAAACCAGTGTAAACTAGTGAGGACAATGTTAAACAGGCTGAAGGTTCAAGATAGGATGCTTGCAGAGAAAGGGATTCTGTTCTCAATGTATGTGGCAGTGCCAAGAAAATATTCATTTTCCATCGTGAGCACCCTATTATTGGAATAAAACATTTCGAATCAGATCCAGCATGCCCAAGCAAGAACAAAGCCTTCTCCATCCTGCATCAACAATAGCCTGTGATTGTGAATAAACGATTAATAAAAATGAACTAACCAAAGCAGCATTGACAGAATAGATTATATTTACCTAGCTTCTAAACTACATAAATAGCAAAATAAAAAACTGGGGCTAAGAGGGACGTAGGGACAAGGAAGATGCATGAATTACGCAGCCAAACAGGTTATAGAACATAGAACATAGAACAGCACAGCCCAGTACAGTACAGGCCCTTCGGCCCATGATGTTGTGCCGACTTATTTTCCTACTAAGATGAAACTGCCCTGCATACCCTATATTATACTATCATCAATGCATTATATGTCAACCTGTAAATCCTTCCAGGAGAAACAATAGCAGTACTAAGAGAAAGAGGGGTTTCTGGTCAGCTACATCAAGGAAAGAACTTTGGAGCCTGTACCATCACAAGAATTACAGACTACCACACATGCTGCTGCAGCAACCCAGATGGAGTTAACTTTAACACAGGCCCGGGGGCCTCTGGGCTGAATCAAGATTGGGCCCTGATACTCACTCAGTGATAGTAAGAACAGCTAATGCTGGCATCAGAGACAACACAGTGTGGAGCTGGAGGAACACAGCAGGCCAGACAGCATCAGAGGAGCAGGAAAGCTGAGGTTTTGGGTCGGGACCCAAAGAAGATGCTGTCTGGCCTGCTGTGATGCTCCAGCTCAACACAGTGTTATCTCTGGGCCCTGATACTCAATTTGTTAAAAGCAATGAGCTGCTGGCATCTGTGGAGCTTCCAAAAATAGTTCTCCACTTCTCCACAAACCATTTTGGGCCATTTGCCTTGCCAGAAACGATTCACAAGTAAATCTTGAGGGTGGAAATGGAGAATATGAAAAGGGGCAAGATCAGGCAGCATGCTCCTCAGGATTGTTCTGCCATCTGAGGCAGGGGGTATTTTAACCCATTCTCCAGTGCAGAACATAGCCCTGCAAAACTAGTCCTTCTTTTTAATCATTTACTACCTGAGAAAGCAGTGAAATACAATCCGATTCTAATCTCAAAGAATCAAAGCATTAGGAAAAATTTCACTTCTCACCAATACAAAAACAGATCACAAATACTAATCTGAAGTAAAGAAACCTTCCAGCTGAACGTACTTGGCTGCACTTTCATCCAAAATCTTCACGTAGTGATGCACAGGATCCAACAGCTGTGGCAGTTCCAACAAAATACTACGAAGGAGGAAGGAATTTAACTGGGCCTCAGCAGCTGGAAGCAGGGCCTGGAAGCCCACCTCCAAACCTGACAACGTGTGGACCAACTGGTAAAACTCCCATGTGGAACACTAAAACAAAAGACATTATTGGTTAGATACTTTGGAAAACACAGGATGAGCTTCAGTGCTTGGCCTGCGTTGCTGCCTTCAATCAGCAACCAAGATCAAAAACAACCTTGTTTGCTTCTGCATTGAATGTCGGTTCACACAAAATGACAGCCTGCAAGAAATTAAAAGAAATGCACACATCGTTCAGCTTTGTAAGCAGACTTTTATTCTGTATTGCTGTCGTCTGAAGAAGCCAAATGGAAGACTAATGTTCCGGCCAGAGATAACGTGCAACATCTGATACCAATCAGCAATCACCACACTGGGCACCTAAACGTACTATTCAAAATATCTTAAGGTTTAAAATATAACTATTTTTCTGAACAGTTGAATTTAAACATTCAAAAGTGACCTGCGTGAAAGCACACTGTGAACTAGGTATTTAAATATCACTACAAAACCTCTCTTGGCTCCGTTAAAAGGAAAGATTTTTTAAAAAGTGGGTTAAGCTATTTCCTAAATTAACAGCCACAGACATTCATACAAATCTATTAAACAAACCCATATGCTAATAATATGAAGCAAGAGTTCACCAACAATGTGTTATGATGGAACCATAGGAAATGTATACTTTCTTAAAAAATTGGTAATTGTGACACTGTGAGTCTCGAAGCAGGATTATGATGATGATTATCCAAAATTTGGATGGAGTACAAGAAATGCTGTCTAACTTCCCACAGTGGAAAAGGCTGACAGCTGGGGAATAATTGAGGCAAACTTAACATTTGCATTCACAAACTCAGGTGGAAAAGTAAGTTGTGAGGAGGATGCAAAGAGGCTGCAAAGGTTTACAGACTGATCCAATGAACAAGAATAAAGGTAACAGATTAAGTACAACATAAGTAAATGTGAAATTATGCATTTTGTGAGGAGGACAGAAAAGCAAATATTTTTTAGAATGTGAAGAGACTAATAATTCAAGAGAAATTTGGAATCCTATGCAAATTACAAAGAATTAACAAATAATGAGGAAGACAAGTGGTATTATCAATAACCTTTATTACAATGGGTTGAAGCATAAGATTATGGCAGTTTTACCACCATTATACAAGGCTATATTTACCTTATAAGGATATGTTTACATGAGAGGAGTGTGACAAAGGTTCATCAGTTTCATTCCCAAAGGTTTTCCATTGAGAAATTGAGCAGAAAGGGCCTATGCTTTTTGGGATTTAGCAAAACAAGACATGACCTCATTCAAACTGGGCAGGGTGAATGCTGGGATGCGGTTTTCTCTGGTCAAATGATAAAGCATCAGCCAAGTCGGGCTGAGGCGCTTCCCCAAGGGTTATGAATCTTTGGAAATCTCCATCCAAGAGCTGGGCATTCCCCTTCAATGAGTAAACTCAGGACTGAGACTGACTGCTCTTTGGAGAATAAACAAAGAAAGAGAAATGGGTGTTAACTGCATATTAATTAGAATTAGATTGAATTACAGTGCATTGAGCATGGGAGTTGGGAGGTAATGCTGCGGCTGTACAGAACATTGCTTAGGCCACTGTTAGACTACTGTGTGCAATTCTGGTCTTCCTGCTATAGCAAGGATGTTGTGAAACTTCAAAGGGTTCAGAAAAGATTTACAAGGATGTTGCCAGGGTTGGATGGTTTGAGCTATAGGGAGAGGCTGAATAGGCTGGGGCATTTCCCCCGAGCATGGGAGGCTGAGGGGTCACCTTATAGAGGCTTATAAAATCATGAGGGACATGGATAGTGTAAATAGACAAGGTCTTTTCCCTGGGGTATGGAGTCCAAAAATAAAGGGCATAGGTTTAAGGTGAGCTGCCATAGGAAGTGGTGGAGGCTGGTACAATTACAACAGTTAAAAGATATCTGGATGGGTATATGAATAGGAAGGGTTTAACAGGGATATCAGCCAAATGCTGGCAAACGGGATCAGAATATTGACAGAATTAACCCTTTTCAATTTTTATAAAGTCCCATGAAAGAGTCCAAAGTCATGCAAAGTCTGATACAGTTTCACAAAACAGCTTTCAGAAAATAAACAGTTTCATCAGTATTTGCATTATTGAACTGCAAAGGCAATTCTACACTGGTTTACATCTTAGATTGGAAGCAGGTCAACGAGTAGTGAATTGCTTTTGCATAATTTCCATTTTACATGAAGCATGTATCATTTCACCAGTTAGTAATTTTGATGAAATTTGTTTGAATGAAGACTGTGCTCATTTCATCTATTTCTCAATTTACGGCTGGGTCTACAACTTTCATAGGGAGATAATAAAACACAAAACACAAAGGACTTATAGCATAACAATGTTAAATTAATGTTTCAATGATTAGAATTTCTGTAGAATCTGCCCATTAACTGGAGTTGTGCCAAAGGTTCATCGAACCCAAATGCCAAATGGAGTTTCCAAGAGGGCAGGACCGCAGATGGGGATACCACGGGGTCCTAGTGCCAGCCAGTTTGCATGTTTACCACAATGGTTCCACCTCCTGACAACTTTGGAAGAGGTTAGCTCAGGAGTGGGGTTTGACAGCCATCCACCCACAAGCAGCAGGTATTAAACTGAGGCACCAAAATTCTGACACGACTGGAATTTGGCAATCTGGGGCAGAATGAAAGGCTGATAGAATGAAGTCCCACTCTCAGTGACAGGCTGTGGGCTTTCTTTTTTAAGATGCCTCGAGCACTTCTCATTAACACCGCCCCCAAACACAACCACATCCATCACCCTCAGGTCACCAACCCTGCATCTGCAATGAAGAAACAGCCAGATCCACAGCCACAGGAGATACTGTGGAACAGTGTTCCCTCAATAATAATGGCTTGGTAGACACGGCTAGTATTTGAATACATACTTTGGTCAGTATGAAGGTACCGTACTTCTATCTTGTCTTTCTTTCTCTCTCTGGCCTGCAAAATCAGTGACATCTCTGACCAATTTTAAGACTGGACAATCACTGATTGACTGTGCAGCCTCTGGAGCCCACCTACTGTGCCCAACTGGGCAGTGTGCCTCCTCCCAGGTCATAAATCAGCCAAGTCAGAAACCACATTGACTGTCTGTGGAGAAAAGGCCAGTGTTAACAAGGTTCAATTCTAGTACTAGAGGTCAGGATCCCATTGCCCGGTGCATTTCTGTGTCCCTGTTAAAGCACAATGTGGGGTTGAGCACCAAAACACACCCAGCCATGGGGTTTTCACCTCAAAGCTAAAATCAAGCCAGTTTTCTCTTATTTTCACCAAACTGATGGGCTAGGTATTCCTAATATTTTCATTTTCACTTAATTCTTGTCCAAAATAACATGGCAGTACTGCACACTTGAACTCCTATTTCTTTCTCATGGCAAAGTTCCATTTTCATTTGACCACGTGAGTCATCAGTAATGCTGAGAACATTTGTATTTAACTGGAAGGATATCCCATTACAGTTCAAAAAGTCAAAACATTTGACTGTTACTTCTACCTGAATATCATGCATAAACCAGGGTTTAATCCAAATCTGTTTCCTGGTAAATTGCAAAATCACAATTCTCCTAACTGCCGAATGTTGAGGAGGCTTCCATAGCACTAAATTACTCATATGCACAAAGATTATTTTCTCTGCCTCTTCCTAATAATTTTCAAAGAGTATTACTGTAAAGAGACATTTTCTCGAAGCTTTTCAACTTTCACTCATGAGAACAATTTGCAAGTACACCAATTAAAGGGGAAAACAAACAGTTCAACTACAGGAGAGAAAGTGCCTATTGACTAATAGATAGATTCCAATTGGTAGAAGCATTGCTATAAAGGATACACTCATTAATAGTGATTGGCAGTTAACTGCCAGGCTTTGTTTAAATTTTAGACCAGACAGGTTGAACCTGATTGATCAGGGAACTGTCCTGAGAGGAAAAACAACATATGGTTGTCACACTTTGAGCCTGACTGACAATCCTCAATGGCCTAAAGATATTATCACTAGACTATTAATGCAGAAACTCAGCTAATGTTCTGGGAATCTGAATTCAAATCCCACCATGGCAGATGTTGGAATTTGAAATCAATAAAAAAAATCTGGAATTAAGAGTCTAATGATGACCATGAATCCATTGTCGATTATTGGAAAAGTCCATGTAGTTCACTAATGTCCTTTAGGGAAGGAAATCTGCCATCCTTACCTGGTCTGGGCTACATGTGACTTCAGACCCACAGCAATATGGTTAACTCTTTAACTGCCCATGGGGTAATTAGGGATGGGCAATAAATGCCGGCCTAGCCAGTGGTGCCCTCATCCCATGAGTGAATGAAAAAGATTGGTTTTCAGCATAATTCTTCACACATTCAGGATTATCCAGTAGATATTGTCCAATTACAGGATCAACAACATATTTCGACCAACATTTAAATTAGAACAGGTAAGGTGTCTGTTGGATTTGTTAAAGTGTGTACTAAATCCAAGGTCATACCAGATTTCCTTTCCAAAGGTACTGGCAAACAGTGAAGTGTGACACAGTCCCACAACTGAATGGGCATTTATGTGAGATAAGATTGAACAGATCAGTAATACGATTACTAGTTTATGCCATTCCTTACACTGGTCTGAACTGCAGAAATTTCTTTCATCTTTTGATTTGGTCCATTTAAGCCACAATATTTCTTCAACAGATAACTGGACTACAAACAGTGTCCATTTAAAATGCATCCATACCATAAACCTATTTAATGAGAAGCTGTTACCATTGCAATTAACAATATCACTAAACATTTCTCTGACCATTAAAAACGAGGAATCTGTCCTTGCACATAGTTTCTCTTTTGGCATACCTTCAATCCACATTAAATGGGAAAAGATATTTGTTAGGCTTGAACTCCTCTTCTTCTGTCTATTCAACCATAAACCAGTGTGTGCTGTAGAAGGTGAATTCTAGCTGCTTTAGTGCATAGATATTGCTTTCGGCCAAATGACTTGTTTGATTTTCACAAGTAACTGAATGTTTGGCACCATTGCAAAGTTTGTGGGCCAAACTGGTCACGCATATCAGTGAATCCGTGTAAGGGACCACATGTTTCCCTCTTGGACTATAAACAGGAAAATGAAAGTTGGACACTGCTACAGACAGAAAGAAAATTTATAAACACTGCTCCTGCTACAACTCAACAAAACAGGTGACAGCCATTCATTGGCTCATTTCTCAGGCAATGGCCTGTCTAATCAGAGCCAGACTCCATCTGCCTGGTTTAAAATTTGAATACAGCTTGGCTGTTAATTTTCAGACATTAGCTAACTGGTACATTCTCCACGTCAAGACCTCTACTAATCAGAACCTAGTTGCCAATCAATCAGCACTCTCCTCAAATGCAGTATAACATTTGGTTCCCCTTGAATTGGTATCCTTGTGAATTTTCCTGATAACTACAAGATAAAAAGCTTCAACAAAATGTATCTTTTGTCAGCAGTACTTAAATTCTGTATGACCGAATGATTGTTTTCAAAAGAGATAAACTCCTCTAATGAATGAGCATTGATTCACATGTATTTTGTTCGTGTACCTTCTTGTGGTAAATACTACAGATTCCTCTCTCCAGATCCGGGAGCTTAGACAGGAGCTTTTGGGTCTTTGCCAAGACAATGGATTCTGATGACAGAATTTCAGCGACGGCATCCAATCGAGCATTAATTTCACTAGAAGTATAAAAAGAGAATTGAAGAAAGTCAATGATAACTTAAAATATTGTAATGAGCTAAACTATTCCATTGCTGGTGGATCAGGTGAAAATGAACCAAGAAATCAGTGAGTACTTCCAGCTGCCTCAGCCAGAAATACATCTCAAATATAATTCCTTTCAGGCTGTATGTCTACATTTTAATCAGGAACCAAATTAGTTGAGATTTGTGATATAAATGGCTCACTGATACTTCTCATGTCTGTGTGGTGGTTCGAAGAGTATATACATGCTCAAAAGGGATGGAGGTGCTTAAAAACACAATGGAATCAAAGTAATAGCAGCAAATATTTTTAATGTTATTTTGATTGAAATTTATTTCTAACTTTGATACAATGAAAGGAGGAGTTGCACACACAAATTAGAAAGCATTCACGTATTTGCATCGTACAGAAAATGGATATTCATTTCCCCTTGCAGCTGCAGTTAATGTTACTGCATATGTTCCTTGTTTACCGGATTGTACAACAGTGAGACATCACCAATATCATGAGGATTACACAGAAAATATATACAAGAAGCTGCTAAAAAGGAATACCCCTACAGTCCTGAAAACATTTAATCAGGCGTACAGTCTTTGAGGTCAGTTTGACACAGTCAGAAAATGGTTGAATGAACCACAGTTGGTACCAACAGACAACAAAGCCCATGCAAAAATAATTAGTTCACTTTTGCTTTCTGTGCCAAGGGATTTAACAGTTGAAATTAAAGTTGAATAGCAGCACAAATCTCCAATCATCTGGACAATTCAGATCATAATACAAAACAGCAACTAACATGGCAATGACCTTCCCCTTTCCAAGTTTCTACTTTGTAACTAAACTAAACCAAAATTGTCCTCAAAATACAGACAATCCTCACCTGCCCCAAAAAAGATAATAGTGGATCTTCTCTTTGAACTGCTGCAGTACTTGTAATGATAGTGTTCCTACAACTTTACTAAGTTAAGGAATTCAAAGACATTGATCCAGTGACAATGAAGGAGTAACATTATATGTCCAAGGCAATGATGAGTGAATTCAAGATAATGGTCTTCCCTCCACACTGCCACTTTTACTGCAATAAAGACATTGCAAAGGAAGGAGATGTAGTCAAAGTAATATTGGTGGACTGCCGGTGTGTATTCAGGAAATCATACATGTATTGTCAGCAGTAATATGGATATTCAGTCCTATAGCAGGGGCACCAATCGACAGATTGCTTTGATATGGATGGTGTCGAATTTCATTGTTGTTGAGGTCACTCCATTCAGATGAACAGTGAATGTTTCGTCATGCTTCCGGCAAGTATCTTACAAACGCTGAATGGGATTTATTGGATTTTGAGGGGATCAAGAGGTGAGACACTTAGCTCTGCCTGTTCTTGTTGGTCGGTCTATGTGAGTTTCTGCGCAATGATGAATCACAAGATGCTGACATCAGACTTTTTGCCCCATTGTTTTCTTTTGCAAAAAATCTTCAAAGTTGGAGATTTTACAACATTCTCTTCTCATTTCCTCACATCTGATTTCCTCATTGCTGCTTTCCACAGAATCACATCTTCTGTACTGATCAGCAATACATAGACAAATGCCCAAATCCAATGGCTGACACTCTACCTGTCGTATTGTCACCTCTTTGGCTTTTCCACTCATTCAACCCAAAAGGAGATAGTCAAGTAGCAATGCTATTGGCACAATGCAGAGCTACTTGCAAATATATCTGAATAAATTTTTAAAAAGTGCTATCTTTGAACAGACTTACTTTATATCTAATACAGATCTGCAGTAAATAGATGCAATCTCCAGTTACTGCACATATGGACCTCTCCAAGCTTTCATATGCCTATTACTTATGAAGAAAACACAATTCGCTTTGTAATCTATCACTTCTGCAACATTTTATGTACCCACACACAATGTTTTCTTTGGTATGCAAAAGAAACTGGCACAACGTCTCTGGCTGAAACAGTAACTAGATGTAATGATCAGTTCTTACACATTTCTCTCAATCCTTTAAACATAAATGAATTTAAATTGTAAGCAAGCTGCTATTGTTACATAACAATGACATAGGCCATAATGACAATAAAACAGAAACACAGAAGAGCCTCTTCTGCAGATATCTTACCCTCTATGAAACACTGCTGAAAACAAAATCATCCCACCCACAACAGATTGTTACTGATTAAAAAGGAGGATTTTCATTAGACTGCATTGTGCAGCATAAAAGGAGATTGGGTTCATCACAAACAGGATAAAAGAATAAGTTTCAAGTGCAATGATCTGGACTGCCAAAATACCTACCACCTACGGATGTTTTCGATCACATTTGTCCTTCTTATGGGCATGTGCACACAACTGGAATGAGGTGCAGAATATTTAATGTAGCTAAGCCGTAGGTCTTAAAACATCAAGAGGTTAATCTGCAGTGTGATCATCTCCACAAGCAACTGTATTAATCCCTAAAGTTACTAACTCAGTTGCTTGCATCAATCCTTAAAAAAAAAATTAGAAGTATGTCCTTTGAAATGATTGCAGATCAACCATAATCCGTATCCTTATCAGTCCAAGGTAGTCGTAAGCCTGCATCCCACCGTGGTGGGTGCAAACCTACAACGCACTGAAGTAGTCGCAAGCCTAAGACGCACCGAGGTAGTTGTGAGCCTACATTACACTAAGTTAGTCGTAAACTAAAACATGTGGAGGTAGTCGTAAACCTACGACATACTGAGGTATTCATAAACCTATACCGATCTGCTGGGATTTATCCTGAATTTTAATTCCAGTGAATTCAATCACCTAGCTTCAGCCCAACTCTCAATTAGTCTCAACATTGAACAACAAACTAAATCTCACCTTGCTTTCGTTAAAGGCTGTACCACCCATTTCTTCAGAAGCCGTCTCCCAAAGGAATTCTGGGCATGATCAAGTACCCAAAGTAGACTACCTTTTGTTGTGCCAGTGGTCTGCCAAGAGAAAGATTACACATTAGCTTATGTATATTTCCAAATCAAAATTTAATTTTACTTTATTTTACAAAAACCTTTGTTACGAGTTTTCTTTCTCTATCACCACTAGTTTGAATTCCTATTGCATAACTGAAAAGTTAAGCAAATATAACATGGCCATTTTTCACCAAGGTGAATCTGAATTTTCATCATAAAGTTGTTCTTTCCAAACTTGAAAGTATGAGTTCAAGTCCAAATATTAGTAAAGTTGTGTCGTATATACACAGTAATTGTTCAAAACCTGGGGCAACCAATTGGTTCAGCCAATCTGAGCTAAGCAGAAAAAGTCAGATTGGATCCTCATGCTATGCTGAGTTAGTTGATCAAAATTGTGATAACGGCTAAAATGCTTTGATGGATTCCAAAGCCGTGCATTAATTGATGGAAATCCTTGTCCAGATTACCTTACTTATAACTACTAGTCCCTGCTGGATGAATAAGTGTATAACTGAGAAGAGGGCAAAATCAGATTTCCACAGTGAAGCTCCAGTGTTGACTAGCCTGCAAATACAAAATATCAGAGGCCACTTAGATATGGTAAGCAGAAAGTCACAAACTAGCGACGTGTGACAAACTCCAGATTGTCAGATGGTAGGCTTTGAATTAACACAGCAAGGGTTGTGCTTCCTAAACAGGTTCTGGATGATCCTTGCCAGCCAGGGGCCCTATGTAGCCAACCTTCACCACTTGAGCCTCAGTACATACTCCTTATGCTTTTGTGGAGGGGCACAAACAATGCTGCATTATTGCACCTGTACCAGGAGGTGTTCCCTCTCCAAACTAATGGCAGAGTGATCACCTTAGACTCAGCGAACAAAGGCAGCTATCAGTGGGTTCCTGGTATTTGCATTCACTAAATAAGAATAAATGGATTACAAGTCGCACAAACTCTCTTCACTGACTACTGCTGCATTTGATTGTCTGTGAATTCAATAAATAAGTGAATACTTCAATATAATCAACTGGGATGGGGTCGGCGCGGTGGTGGGGGTCGACAGGAAACAAGAAACAAATCAAATGGAGATTCCATTCACTGACTCATTGCTATGTTAACCAACAACAGTCCATGCATTGCTACTTGAGGGTAATGAGATATGTCATTTCTTTTACTCGTACCTGGTTTTGTAAAATTTCCAAGTTCTTCAAGGTCGTTCCATTGATTGACATGCATGTGGAGTCCTCAGAAAATTTGCTCAATTTACTGGAGAGGGTAAAACAAACAAACAAACAAACAAACAAACAAACAAACAGTCATGAATAATTGTTGATCATGCCCAGAAAAACACAAATACATCCATCATTTCTCTGTTATCTAGTCAAGCCCTCACAGGACAACCACTACTGCTCCTTTGGGGCTTGTATTTTTAAGGCATTTTCTGTCTGTAATTATTCACTCAGTCACTTGTTTTCAGTTCACCAAGTCTGACAGACACAGAAAACCTGCCCTAAGCTCCTCCAAGCCAAGCTGCCAAGAAATCCACAAGAACAGTGCCCATTATGCAGTGTACACTCCTCCTTTAACCTCAACTTCAACTTGCCAGAAGGTTGAGCAGCTTACGGGCAAGTCAGCTTAATAAAAGTTTAAAAGGACTCCAAGCATACAATGGGTTTCTTCTGGAATCCAACAGCTAAAGCCTCACAACTCAAAAGTCGAAGAAATTACAGCTCCTCGTGCTTATCCAACCAGACCATTAAATTTCTATCTTGCACACTTTACAGAAACATAACAACTAAGAGCAGGAGTAGGCCATTCAGCCCTTGAAGCCTGCTCCACTATTCAATAATTGATCCTCTATCTCAAGGCCACATTTCCCCAATCTCCCCATTCCCCTTGATGCTCTTAGAATCTAAAAAGGTTTCAATCTGTCAAATATATTCAGTGTCTTTTGCAGGAAATTCATTACCCTTTCTGTGAAGGAATTTTTACATCTTAGTCCTAAATAGTCTACCCTGATCCTGACCCCTAATTCGAGAGTCTCAAACCAGGAAAAACTGCTTTGCTCTTGCATCTAATCTGTACAGCCCCGTTATAATTTTATATGTTTCAATCAGATCCTCGCTCATTCTTCTCAACACTAGTGAATACAGGCACAGTTGAACCAATCGTTCCTCATAAGACAGTCCTGCCATCCCTGGTATCAGCTGAGTGAATCTCTGCTGCATTCCCTCTCACGGGAAGTATATCGTCTCTCAGGTAGGGAAACCAAAACTGCCTACAATACTCCATCTTATCTTTCATACATCGTGGCTTTCATTACAGTATATTCTGCAGGATTACAGGACCAGAATGGCACTGTCATCACCACAGATCAGTCCAAACTCTACTGTGACAGCACTGCTTTTCTTGTCATGGGACAGGAGCATGATTGGCTACAGCAGCAATTGTTGCTGATCCCTAGTGCCCTGGAGAATGTAGCAGTGAGCCAACTTCTTTTACTGCTACAGCCAGTGGGATGTAGGTATATCTGCAGCACCAATTAGGGTCAATGCCCATGATAGCACACAAATTGCAATACAGCTCCAAGCCAGGATGCTGTATGGTTTGGAGAGGAACTTGAAAGCGTTGATATGCCCATGTGTCAACTGCCAGTCTTTTTTGGTGGTAGATGTCACGGGTTTGGAAGATTGATGGAGGCCTGACGTGTTTCTGCAGTGCATCTTGTTAATGGTACATTTGCCACGACTGGGGATCAGTGGTGGATGCATTAAGTTTAAGGTGGAGGATAGGGTTCCAATAAGAGGGCTACATTTTCCTGGATGGCCACAAGCTTCTTGAATATTGTTGAACTGGATCCATCCAGGAATGTTATGAGCCACAGAATTTTCAGCCTCTAACCTGCTCTTGTAGTCACTGTATTTAAAAACTGGTCCATTTCAGTTTCTGGTCAATTGTGAAGGTGTAAAATTTGGATTTATTTTAGAAGGTAAGTCATAACCAGCAGCTAGGGTGCCAAAGCATATACAGACAAGGACACGGGATGACCCAATGTATAGAATAACCTAATTAAGAAATGGGGAAGGTCACTGGCAAATGATCTGATGGTTTCAAACCACATCAATTCAGCCCCATAAACCTTTTATGCAGAATATACACACGTTCTTTACTGCCTCCCGAAGGACAATACCAAGTCTCTGCATTGCAATCACTATACAGAAACACAATTATCAGCCCACTGGTGGAAATTGTGCTGTGGCTTCAGCCTATGTAATATCCTTAAGTAGTAACTGATAATGCAAACTTACATAAATTGTGCTCATTTGACCCTTGGTGGAGAAGCACCTGGACTGTCCAGCATTAACTTAATAAAGACACCACTTGACTATTGCAACTGGACTCAGTGTTAAAATTTTATAACAGACTATTTCTCAGACCTTTCAATGCTAACTGCCAGGATGTTGATAGTGGGGGATTCGGCAATGGTAATTCCACTGAACATCAGTTATGATGGTTAAATTTTTTCTTGATGTTGCCTGGCAATTGTGTAGAGTCAGATGACATCAGCGAGGCTGATTTTAATATCGGGAGCATATCGCTGCATCTTTTATGTTTTACATAAGCAGCATGGCACGTTTCTCACTAGGCAGTGTCAAGTTGTCAATTATTGCTTATTAAATAGATTGCTGACAGCCCAACTCACTTCACTAATAATTACCCTTCTATCTTAACAAATGTGCCAAATAGGCCAGATGTCAAGAATACTCAAAAATGGATCCCTGGCGAATTCAACTCCTGCTCAGTCGAAAGGATCTCCAGGGCTGATACTAGGTACCAACATGTCAATGCACACCTCATTGGCACTGGCCACATGCACCCCACATCTACAGACATTGGCATCCAATATGTACCAGCCTCTAAGAACCCTCTTGACACATCTCCAGTCCACACAGAGGATACTTCTGAACTTCAATGTCTCACTGTCACACTGCTGTAAGGACACAGTGCACTCAGGGACGCACACCCAGCTTATGGACTGGAGCGGGCTACATTTCTGGTCAACACGCTCTGGTCTGGTAATCAGTCTCAGAGCAGATTGGCATAGTCTGGCTTCTATCCCCATTCCTGGGGGAAGAGGAAGTCTTGCCTCTGCACCATCCCAACCAGCAGGACTTCCAGGGCAACTTCCATTAATAAAACCCTATCAGCCATGTTCAACACAATGTCAGGAACCGTGCAGGGCAGCCGTACCCTGACACAGCTTGTCCTGGTGCACAACAGCCTTTTAAAGATGGCATGAATACATGGGATGCCAGTGAACTCTGAGATACCCACAGAATGGCAAGTTGTTTTGGGAATGGCAGATGGCAAGACAGGGTTGGAATCCAACACATGGAATGTTATAAGAGTGAGGAAGGCAGTTAATAAAATGAGTTTAAGATATATTGAGAAAACCCACCAAGTGTCACGGGGAAACCCTCCCAAAAAATGCAGCATGACTCAGATTGAGCCAAAAAAAAAAAAACATTAGATCAAACATTTGTCCAGAAGGCAGTTACATTCCTTCAATTAGAGTCTTCTGATTCGGTCCACAATCAGTTTCAGGATGGTGCAGCTATGAATGAGGCAAATATGGGATCAAGAAGGTAGAAGTCGGGGAGCCTGAGTCTTATCACTATCCAACAAAGTCTGAGGTGTCTAGTTCTTGTGTGGCCAAAAACAGAGACTTTATGGTGAATGATCAAAGCAATCACAGCATCATAACACAGGAAGTCATTCAAGCAGGGCAAGTAAACAGGAATTTAGTGGTTCTCACAGACAGTATTGTTAATTGATTGGACATGTTCCCCATTCAAGAACACGAGTCCCGAAGGCTGTGCTGTCTGCCCCGTGCCAAGATTTAGGATGTTGGCTTTGGGCTGGAGAGGAATTTGCAGTGGGAGGGGGAGGATCCAGTTGTCGCCCATCCACAAAGGTACCAACAGCATGGATAAGTCCAGGAAAGAGTTCCATCTTGGATTGTATCAATAGCCAAGTATTAAAAAGCCAAACCCCAAAAGATAATAATCCAGAGATTATTACCCAAGCCACAGACAGATTGGTGTAGAGTACAGCAAATTAGAGAGTTCAAATGTGTTATACAAAGATTGCTGTGGGAGAAATGGGTTTCAATTCATGGGGAAAGTGAAATCTGTATCAGTGGAATAATTTGCTCCTCAAATCTGCTCAGACCAGTGTTGGTTGTGAAACTAGGAAAGTAGATTGGTTTTAAACTAAATATACTAAATAAGTGGACGTCATGGAACCAAGTGAGGGAATGTGAAATATTAAAAATGGCCACACAACATTAAGGGGAATAATAACTAGGAGTATGGCAGGAAGGGACAGAGTGGACAAAGAGTGCAGTAGCAGGTAAATCTAGAAATTGCAAAAATAGCAAAAAGACCAAACTAAAGGCTCTACAAATGAATGTTTGTAGCATTCATGACAGAAGTGATGAACTTTCTATACCAAAATTTCAACATGTGTGGTGTTATTGGCATTACTTAAGACAAATCATTTGATCAAATAAAAATAAATATGTATGGTTTGATTGTCATTACAGAAACATGGCTGAAAGGTGACAAAAAGTTAACCCTGAATATTCAGGGTTAAGTGACATTTCGAAGAACAGGAAAAGTGGTGAGGTATCTTCGTTAATGAAAGATGACATGAGTACAATAGTGAGAGATTACCCCAGTTCTAATGATCATTATGTAAAATGTAATGGTGACCATGGTTCAGGGCGATTTAAGATAATTAAGGTAAAAAGGACAAATATGGACCAAAATAAAGCTCCTGAATTGGGGGAAGGCCAATTTTATTAAGATAAGGTCTGGCCAAAGTGGTCTGGGAACAGCTACTTACAGGAAAAGCCACATGAGAGCAATGAGAAACATTCGAGAGTAATAGTGAGAGTGCAAGGCAAACACGTTCCCATAAAAGGTGAACCAACATGTGCAGTAAACCCTGGATGTACAGGACGGGGTAAGAAATAAAAGAAAGCCTCTGGTAGACGCTGAAGGTTCAATGCCCTACAAGACTACAGTAAGTGCAGAGGGATGTTTAAAGAAGGGCAAAGTGGGGATACAGGAAAAAAAACACCAGTGGGTAACATTAAGGAAAATTCAAAATGTATTTCTTTAAGTACATTCGGGACAAGAGAACCTGAGTTCATTTTTAAGCAAGCTCCTGCACTTTCCATACTCCTCTAGGGCACCTACTCTTTCAAAACTTTTGTATCACCTTTTTGGTAACTTCCTTTTTATTCTTATCTAACCATGTACATCCTTTGATAGCAGGGGCTCTCTGCATGTGCTGTATTCTGAAGAAGGGTCACTGGACTCCACACATTAACTCTGTTTTCTCTCCATAGAAGCTGTCAGACCTGCTGTGTTCCTTCAGCAATTTCTGTTTAAGATGTATCCAAGACTGCAGTGAGAGGCAAGAGGGGAGATTGGATGACCCTGACATTAATTTTCATATTCATTATGGCCATAGAAGGGGTGCCAGAGGTCTGGAGGACAGCTAGCCTGGTACCATTGATCAAGAAAGGGGCAAAGTCAAAGTCAAAGTCAATCTCCATTTAGAGTGGAAAGGATTAGTCAAAGGTAGTCAGGGAGAGATCATGTCAAACAAACTTGATTAACTTTTCATGGAGGTGACTAGGTGTGTCGATGAGGATAGTGCAGTTGATGCAGTCTACATGGACTTCAATAAGGCTTTTGACAAGGTCGTGCATGGCAGACTGGTTAAGAAGCTAAGAGCCCATGGGATCTAGGGCAATTTGGGTACAAAAAGGCTCAATGGCAAAAAGCAGAGGGAGATAGTTGAAAGTGTTTTTGTGACTGGAAACCTGTGTCCAGTAGGACACCATAGTTGGGTCCCATGTTGTAGTTATATATGTCAATGATCTAGACATGAATGTGGGAGGTATAATCAGTTAGCTCACAGACAACATTAAAATTGGCAATGCGATAAACACCAAGGAAAAGACAATCGGATGAAACAAATGGCTTGGTCTGGTGGGCAGTACAATAGCAAATGGAAACTAAGCCTGAAAAGTGAGATGATGCATTTTGGGAAGACTAGTAAAGGGAACAGAATACACTTTGAACGGTAGGACCCAAAAAGTACAAAGCATCTTAGGGACGTTGGTGTGCATGTTGTAGACCCTTGAAGGTAGTGGGACAGCTAGTTAAAGTGGTTAAGGCGGCAAAGGGGATACTTGCTTTTTATTAGTCAAGATATTGAACTCAAGAGCAAGGAGGTTGTAACGGAGGCGTATACAACATTACCCAGGCCAGTTGGAGTACTGTGTGCAGTTCTGGTTGCCACACTGGACGGGGTGAAGAAGTGATTTACCAGGATGTCGCCTGGATTGGAGTGATTCAGCTTTGAACAGAGACTAGATAGGGAGCAATTGTCTTCTTTGGAGTAGAGAACATGAAGGGGGAATTTAATTGAGGTGTACAAATTTCTGAGGGCCATAGACAGGGAGAAAATTTTCCATTTACTGGGTCGGGGAGGGGTCTATAACCAGGCATCATAGATTCAAACTCCAAACAAAGAACCAAAGAACTGCAGATGCTGGAAATCAGAAACAAAAACAGAAATTGCCAGAAAATCTCTGCAGATATAGTGACATCTGTGGAGAGAAAACAGTCCAGTTTCGGGTCCAGTCCAGGGTCAGTACTCAGTTCTGAAGGAGGGTCACTGGACCCAAAATGTTAATTCTGCTTTCTGTCCACAGATACTGCCAGATGCTGAGTTCTTCCAACAATTTCTGATTTTGCCATAGTTTTAAAGCAAGGAGAAAGTTTAGAGGGGATTTGAGGAAACATTTTTTAACCCAGAGGTTTGCAGGTATCTGGAAATCATTTCCATAAAGAGTGGTGGAGGAGGAAATCCTTATGACATTGAAGAATTGTTTTGATGAGCACTTGAAATGCCAAGGTTATGGGCCAAGTGCTGAAAAGTGGGATTAGAATAGATGGATGTTCGATGACTAGAGCAGACACGATGGATCAAAGAGCCTCTTTCAGTGCTGTAAAAACTATGACTCTATTAATAGTATGGGTAGGATCCCCTAACAATACATGCACTGATAAAGAATAGCAGAAAAATACCAGGGGTCTGTAGGAAAGGTACAGCAATAATCATGGGTAATTTTAACATGCACATGCCAAGGATAACCATTAATCACCAAATATATTAGTAATACTGAACTGCATAATTGAATTCATTGAGATTTCTACTAATCCCAGTCATCTGCGTGCTTTTGAAGGAATGATGATATATTCACTTAGAGACAAAAACAAAATCTGAAAATAAATTCAATTTTAATTTAAATGAATGTGATAAACCGTCACAAGCTGTTTATAATCAGGCAGAGCTTTTTTAATGCCTTCATCACCTACATTTAAGAAACTGCTACACCATAGTGATCAATATTCAAAGTTGCTGAATTCAAATCCACTTTTTATCTCAAATTCATAATTTGTGATATTATGTGCAATGCTTAAGAGAAAGTATTTGATCATTTTCAACGAGAACAAGGATTGGATTTCATCCCATTGCATATTGATTGAAAATCCAATTTGTATGTTTTTTTTAAACAGCAGATATTAAATAACACTGGTTAATAAACAAGGTAAGTGTTCAGTTGCCACTATTTGAATGAAGGAGCAGAGTAAAACTTACCAATCATAAAAGCAAAGTCATTTACCCAAACCATGTACACTGAAAGACGGAGATAACAAGGTGTAGAGCTGGATGAACACAGCAGGCCAAGCAGCATCAGAGGAGCAGGAAAGCTGACGTTTCGGGTCTGGACCCTTCTTCAGAAATGGGGGAGGGGAAGGGGGTTCTGAAATAAAGAGAG